TGAAAATACAAATAAGAATGATACCAAAAAACCAAATAATTGTTGATATGAGGAGTCCTTCGAGATAGCAATCTTCAAAGCCTTAGGAATCCTTCACCAGTAATACGCACCACTTTCACAGAAAATCTTTTCACTTCAAGTCTTAAACAAAGAAAGCACACAATAACAAGAACAAGTAAAGAAACTCAAGTTCATTTCATAATTTATTTTTCAAGTCTGAAGAGGTACAAGAAACTAATATTTATAGCCTAAGGAAGTCAAATAAAGAAATGTGAAGCCAAATAAAGAAGATGAAAAAGCCAATAAATTGTGTTGAGGTAAGAAAAAGTGAAGTCAAAAGATTCTCTAAGCTTCGCACAATTACCGACCATCATTACTCAAAGCATGGTGGCCCATAACACAAGGGTCAAAACATAAAAAAGTCCCTATAACATGACAGGCCAAAATACATATGACATAATAACAAAAGGGCCCAACAAAGTGAAAATACAGTCAAAATAACTAGAATGTCCTAGGTACACAGAATTCAGGCTACATGAAAGTGACAAAGATGATGAAGGACTAGAAGGTTTTAAATCAACACAGCCTGACTCAAATAATTTAACTATATTGAATAAAGATCGAGTACTCAAGACATAAGTGGGAGCATAAATGTTGTAGTTCCTCAAATATGAACAAACAATCCTGAAGAGGGGACCTTTCCATCAAACTAAGTAGAGTTGAACTCCACAATCAGTAGTGTAAATAATCTAATCATTAAGAAGCTGATCTGAAATGTAATACCAATGACAATGAGTTGTCTGCAACATCGACATATACAAAGATAGTCATTGACATATTAGGAGATAGATATGCGGTGATGAAACAGACAGAGGAAAGAGAGGCAAAATGTCGCCAATTGAATCTTGGTACATAGGCAAGTCAACTACATTGAATAATGGTGAAATGCCAACATCTAAAAGTATGAACTAGATCTAAAATTAAAAAAAAGGGGCATGGTATTCCTATGTATTTACATATCTAACAACTAAAGTTTGCTTTTTAAATTTGTAACACCCAAATATTTCATATCACATAAAAATGCCACTTTTTAACTTTTATTCTTATGTATTTACATATCAAAGACCTATTTTTTAAATACACATTTTCTCACTGGAAGAGTGGTATATACATGTAAAAAATGAAGTTTAGCTATTGCATATGTAAATACATAGGTTTTGAGTGCTATGTATGTCTTCCAAAAAAAAAAGAAAGAACCGTTAAACAATAGCACTTTACCGTCAAACTATTTAGGCCCGCAATGGGAATCTTCAGTTTAGAATTGCTCTTTAGAAGTAAATGTAAACTATATTCTTTTGAAAAGTTCCAAAAGGACGTGGCTTTGAAAAGAAGGGAGCTGTGTATGCTTCTATTGATTTATTTAGTTAGAAAATATCATCTATATGAGTTTAATACTATTATTTTAATTTATTAAACTTTATTTATCTATAATTTAACATGTTTAATAATCTTTGTTAAAAATTTTGAACGAGGCGAGGCGATGCGAGATAAAAAGCTATTAAAGCTCAAAATGAGCTTGAATTGAGTTTGTAAATGAGTTTGAGGTTGAATTAAAAGCCGAACATGAACAAAGCAAGGTAAATTGAGTCGAACACGGACATAAGATTCACGAGTAATGTCTAACACAAACTAATTTGAATAGATATAATTCGAAAAAGCCGAACACGAGCCCAGTCTGAGCTCGCTCAAGCTTGGCTCATTTAAAATCCTATTTGTAGGATCAATTCAGCCAATTTTTTTGGAAATCACAAATACTTAGAAGATCACTAAAAATCTCATCAATATGCGCACTTCTTCATGTGATTATATTGTTTTATTGTGGCAAAGAAACTAAAAATTTGTCTTCACTCTTAAGTAGTGAAAAATGTTGAAATCATGAATCTCGTTGAAAATCATGACATCATGAAAATAGGTGATTAAAAAGACATCAACAAAAGGTCTAAGCACATGTCATGACACAAGAAAGTGTTTGATGCAGTGTTCAAGATAAAAAGTATAATCAGTACTCGAGAAGGCCATCTTCGTTTTTAAAAGTGATATTCCACCAATCACCTTTGCATATTCTAATTTGCTTATATCCACTTCAAAAAACAATTTTAAAAAATATCACGACTCCAACCATTCAATCAAATATGCCATCCCACCAAGATACAAATAATCAATGCATAAGAACCATATTTCTTCCTTTCAAGGAATAAGAAAAGTCTAAAAACACAAGGGGATAGGCTCTCACCCAAAAAAAAGAAACCCCCTTATAGAGTATATCATCAATTTAATGTTTAAGCTAGGTGGGTTTATTTAAAAATGAGTAGGTTAGACAAGCCGGATCCATGCACTAAATCAATGGTGTGTTGGAAGACAAGTAGGATCCATGCATTAAATCAATGGTGTGTTGGACACTCCTCAGAGGAGAGAGTTTCTCATAACACAAATTGAGGTAACTCAAATAAGAGATGATTAGCCTCATATGGGATGGTAAGGCAGTCAGTAGAAATTATCTAAGAGAATTCTTATTCAACAAGAGTATAAATGTTAAACACTCATAAAAAATTATCTAAGAGGGTTCTTATTCAATGATAGCATAGATGTTAAACACTCATCACACAAATCGAGTAAAGAGCAATAAATCCCAGGGTTTCATAATTTTCGGCTTAGCCAACTTTAAAATAATTTTATTGACTTCAAATCATCCAAGTACCATCATCAATTATAAGTTTGCATGATGTATCTTCACTTGTGAAGTAGCTGTGGAAGAAATTGATATGTTTCCAATCAAATGCTATTTTAAAGGGTAGTTAGCACAAAATGCACTAAAGCCAAATGTGAGCCATCCAATGCTTCCTCAACATCATTAGCATGATCACATGGTCATACTCGATAATATCAATCTCTTGGTCATCCAGCTAGTCGGGATTAGCATAATCCAAATGGAGAAACCTACAGGATAACCACTTGAAAAATGGCTAGTTTCAACTTAAATTAAGCTAGCAATGCTTAAGAAATTCAAGCTAGAGGATGCAGACACAACTTTAACCCTTGGAACATTGGATATCTTGACTGGTTAGACTTGGAAGATGAACTACTAAAGGTAATAGTAAATTTGCAATGGGGAAAGGGCTTAAGATACCACTCCAACAGAAGGGCTTGTTGAAATGGCTCCTTGAGAATATAAAATACATGAGCAACATCACCCAATAGATTTTAGGATGTAGTCCATCTTAGAACCACATGGCTAAATCAGATAGATTACAACAAAAAATAGAATGATTTACAAACAAAAGACCTTAATGTGAATTTATTTTAAACTAATCACTAAGAAAACAATATAGATAAAATTTTCAAAAGGAGTTAGAAAAAAGAAGATAATTTTTAGTAAAGCATGGTACCAAAATAACAAAAACTTTATTATTACAAGAAATCTTCATCACAATTGCAATCTTCCAATGCTTGAAAGTCCTTCACCAAGTATAAGCATCACCATAATTAAAGAAGTCCTACGCTTTTGCGAAAAAATAACTTAGATACTAGATCATCTCGAGAAATTCAAACTTTTATTTCAATGTTTATTTTTGCATTCTTAAAGAGGTAGAAGGGAATCATATTTAAAGCCTATGGCCACAACCATCAACCATCATCATTCAAAGAAACGCGGTGAAGGAGAAAGAAAAAAATGGTGCACTAATAAAAAAAGTGGAAGTCAATAGATTACAAACACCTAACACCGATCATTGTTCAATGCATGGTAGTTGGCAAAAACATACTAAATCAACAACAAACAATACCCAACACATCACATGGCCCATAACACAAGGCCTTAAGAAAAAAATTAGCCCAATAAGACAAAAGACACAAAGCACATCACGACCTACTGACAACACGAGGCGTCAACAAGACAAAATGCAACTAGAATGTCTTGAGCAGTGATGATGATGATGAAAATTTTTATGTCATCACATACGAGCCATAGTGAAAGTATGCTTATAGATTTTAAATAAGATATTCTAGTCTTTATCATAAATAATCCAACATATTCGTTATATTTATAAATAACAATTGAAGCTTATTACACTCTCCCATGAAAAAATATGAAAGGATCACATTGTTTTTAAGCCAACCTAATACACCAATCAAGATCAAGGCTTACCCCTGCAACCAATGGTGGTCCAAGGCAACAATAGTTGATGGCATCTTGAATGGTCCAAGTGAATATACTACTTTATAGAACTTGAAGAGATGAATACAATAGAAAATAGATCAAAATTTTCAAAAGTGATTAACAAAAATAAGTTTATATTGATTCCTTACTCAGTTTTGAGGGAGTGAAAGTATGAAGGTGGTATCTTGTTATTCTTGGTCATCTCATTGAGACGAGTCATATATTCTGAATGGATTCAGAAACAGAGATCTGTAAAGGCCACAATTTATTTATTTTTTTTTTAATGTTTTGTGTGTGTTTCTGCTTGTTTAGCATCTGATTTGATTTTCCGGGTAATATGAAGATTGGTGAGTCGCTCAAAAATTTGTGCAATGCATCCTAAATTCTGCTTTATAAAAAAGGGATTTTTACTAACCTAAAAAGCAGCAATTCGACAAACTTCTTCTTTCTAATAACTAATACATGATAGATTTTTATCTCTGCAAGGCTTAGGAATAGGAACCACGATTTACATTTTGCCCAAATCAGGTTGTGCAAATCTACAACATACGGGTAAGTACGGGAAAAAAATAAAATCCCAAAAAATAACCCATCACCGAAGCTAGACTAAAGAATGTTTCGTTAATCTCCGCTCAGCTAAGCAATTTAGGACGATTTTGACCACACACATTAAAGATTTATCATCTAAGGCATTCGATCATCAGATCCACAATACAAATTCCTTCCCGGAACAAAATGTTCAACCAACTATAGACCTATCGCAATAGACAAAGTGGGCACCAACCTCAGCTAAATAAGCAAATATCGGCTTTTTTAGTTCTTCCATGACCGGCAAATTCCAGCTATCCGGATCCCGGAGATTGAGGCGGCGCAGCCAAAGCGTTGAAGAAGCGAATTGTTCCTTCGATTTAGACAGGAAAGGAGAAGTGAGGAAGAACCGGCTGAAATGAATCTCTTTGGCAGAGTTGCCGTCTGTGTGGCCATTCCTTTAACCAATGGACGGTTGTCAAAAGGGCTCGTTGTTGAACCGCTTGGTCCAGTCCGTCGTGGTCCCCATTGGTTCGTTAGGTATATGAAGGAGTTCAACACTAGTAATTTTTTTGATGTTTGGTATATAAGCGAGTTAAATATGAACAAAAAATTTATTCATTTATAGTTTTACTTATTTTAACTTGAAATAATTAAATTATTTATATAAATATATATCATGAGTATTAGTTTAAATATTGTAATTGACTACAAGACTACAAAGATATATAATGAATTAAAATTACTAATTAGAAATAGAATAAAAATACTAAATTTTATTTAAATAAATATTTTATTACAAATAATAAGATTTAAATCTCAGTCTAGCCTTAACATCCACAGCTTTGTGACTAGGGTTGTTAAAATGATTCATTATTCGTGAACATCTCATGCTCGATTCGATAAGCGAACGAGCCAAACACGAACAAATTTTTTTAGCTTGATATATAAACGAGCCACACAATAATAATATTTTTTAACAAGACGAACACGAGCCCAGTGTGGGCTCAGTCAAGCTCGGCTCATTTACACCCCTATAGAGTTTTCAAAATGACTCTTTGTTATCGAACAACTCGTGTTCGGCTTGTTAAGCAAACGAGCCGAACACAAACAATGGTATTTTTTAACGAGCTGAACAGGAGCTGAGCCCAAGTTCACTTGTGTTCGGCTTATTTAAACCCATAAATGGTGCATTGGTCTGTTTTGGTTCGATGGTCCACAACAATCCATTCAAGCGTACTTGGCTTCATCTAGGTCTAATTACATGGGGTTACTTAGACCCCGTTTGGGGTGTCAGTGTCGCAACTTTTTGTTTTGAAAATGTTTTTTTATCTGTTTGTCTCTAGATTTTCACCTTCTATTTGTTATCGTTCATCCGCAGAATGAAAGAATGTAGAACAAGGGTGAGGTAATGTGTTTCGCGGTGATTGCAATGTTTCAGTTGCAAAAAACCTTCACTACTCTCATGGAAATGACCTTATTTTGCTCCATTTCCCTGATATCACCCTCGCTTTGCCTCACCCTCGCGGTGATTGCAATGTTTCTGTCTCGGTGATTTTAGGGCAAAAACTTGATCTTGTTCTTTAGCTCTCGTCGCTTCTCTTCTTTATACACATAATGTCTCCCCTTCTCACATTTTCTTGGAGATTAATTATGTTATTTTGTTTCTTTGTTATCTTTTTAGTTACAGGTTTCTGGTTTAACTGTTTAGTTGTTTGAGATGCTTGACTCATTTGGTGGCTTTACTGATTTTGTGGTTTTCTGTTATTTAAGAGCAATTCTGGTTATTTTGAAAGGATTGTATGGAGGTATTTAGGAGCGGTGTTGATTATTTTGAGAAAACATCCATGACATTTATGAGATTTTGATTCTCTGATATTACAATACCAATTCTGATTATTTTCACAAGTTAGTTATTTTATTTTTCTTTCATCCTCTTCAAACTTGGAAAAGGATTATATGAAAGGAATTTAGGACCATCGTTTGTACTTTAGAAAATGTGTCCATTAGAATTTGGTTTTCTGCTCTTGTGAATATCTTTTGCATTTCATATTAGATTAGTGATTGCATTTCCATTTCTTCTTTCATTAACATCTGGAATGCTTATTGGGGAAGAATTTAGAACCAGTGCTTGTTATTTTGAGGGTACACGATGAAACTTTGATTGTTTGCTATTTTAAATGTCTCAGTTTTTATGTTTGATCAATAATTGCATTTCACATTCCTCCTTTTTAAACTTGAAAAAGATTATATGGAGGGAATTTAAGGTGGTGTTGGTTATTTTATAAAAACATTAATGATAATTTGTTTTTTCTGATATTACAAATGTCTCAGCATTTATGTTTGATCAGTAATTTCACTTTCATTTCCTCTTCATTAAAGTTGGAAAGGATTGAATTTAGGGAATTCAGGAGTACTAGTTGCACTTTTGAATATATATTCATGAGAATTTGGTTTTCAACAATTTCAAATGTCTTAGTTTTCATGTTAGATTAGTGATTGCATTTCACATTCCTCCACTTCAAAATTGGAAATAATTTTATGGATGAAATTTAGGTGCAGTGCAGGTTATTTTAGAGATACATCAATGATAATTTAGCTTTTTTGATATTGCAAATGTCTCAGTTTTCATGTTAGACCAGTGATTTCATTTCATTTCTTTACTTTAAAGTTGAAAATGATTGAATTTAGGTAATTTAGGAACAGTTCTTGTGCTTTTGAGAATATAATCATAAGAATTTGTTATATGCTATTCTAAATGTCTCAATTTTAATGTTAGATCAGTAATTGCATTTCTCATTCCTCCTTTTTAAATTTCAAAAGGATACCATGGGGTTAATTTAGGAGCAGTGCTGGTTATTTTGGAAATACATCAATGATAATTTAAACTTTCTATTTTTACAGATGTCTCAATTTTCTAATTTTATAAATATTAGATTAGTGATTACATTTCCATTTACTCTTCTTTAAAGTTTGAAAGGATTTAATTATGGGAAGTTAAGAGCAGTGCTTGTAATTTTGAAAATATATTCATGAGAATTTAGTCTTATGTTATTGCATATGTCTCAGTTTTCATGTTAGACCAGCAATTGCATTTCTCTATCATCATTTTAAACTTTAAAAATGAGTGTATTGACAGAATTTAAGAGCAGTGCTGTTTGTTTTGAAAATATATTAATGAGACAAAATTTGGTTATTTGTTATTACAAATGTCTCATTGTTCATATTATATCAATAATTTCATTTCTCTTTCATCTTTTTTTAACTTGAAAATGATTATATTGAGGGAATATAAGAGCAATTTTTCTCCTTTTCAAAATATATTAATAAGGATTTGGTTATCTGCTATTGCAAATGCCTCATTGTTCATGTTATATTAGTAATTTCATCACAGTTATGAGAATGCAACGATATCATGATTATATGGACTTAATCGAGAAATGGTATCAAATAGTGTGTATATCAATTTGAATCTCCATTTGTTTGCCAAACTTTTTCCTATTAACATTACTAGATCATATCTTAGGTATTGCACATATAATAACATACTCATTAATCATAACATATCTATTGATGATCACTTTCTTAGCTTTTGGGTAGCATAATTTGTAGACCTTAATTTCAATTTCATAACTAAGAAATGCACACTATATATTATATATGCTTTAATGTATCATTTTTAACATGAACATAAGAAGGACAACAGTAAACATTAAATTAGATTGATCAACATGTTTATTTGACCAAATCTTTTGCTGAGTTTTTTTTTCTTAATAATAAAAATAAAGTTGAATGATTCACCAAATAATAGGCAATAGAATCATCTTTAGCCCAGAATGCTATAAGTAGCCCAACATTGAAAAATTCATTCTGGTTTGAAAAAAGACATTATATTTTTTTGAATAAAACTCTAAACTATTAATTGTGTTTTGAAATTTAATATGTTTTCTAGTATGTTCTCAAATATAATCTTTCATTTTTTAAAGTTAATAATTATATAATTATTATACTTAAAAATTTTAATTTTCTTCTAAGAAAATCATCAATAATCATTAACATATATTTGACACCCTCTTTAAATGATATCGTGGATGTTCCCCAAAGGTCAGACTGCATATAATCTAGTATCCTCTTGTACTATAAATGTCTACGTTGAGTTAACATTCTTCTATTTTTCAAACACGCAATGCTCACATAAATTTAATTTAGTAATACGTTGGCAATTAAGAAAGTTTATTCTAATCTTTTCAACTATCTCATTTTCACTCACATGCCCAAGACATATGTGGTAATGTCGCTTCATCATTTGACATGAAAGAAGTAGTAACTTATGCATCATAGACTAATGTAAAGCCTTGTAAGACATATAATCCAACAATCTATTTCTATTCTTTCATGATTATAAGTGATCATTTATCAACTTTCAAAATTACACCTTTATTAGAGTATTTATACCCTTTAGCATTAAAACTATTTAAGATTTTTATTTAAATCAACTACATCCTCACATCTCCAATTGTCTTGATAACTCCATAAAAAATTATAATTTGGATAATTCTCATACCAACTATCTTATCAAGAGCTTTATTTTTAATTAAAACCATACATTTTGACTTTGTTTTATATGTTGAAAAAAACCCTATTGGGACACATGAAATGTGTAAGCTAAACAAATATCACAATTATCATAAGGTTTACTATCAGAGACAACTAAGAGCTTGCTCTCACTAATAATAACCCATGTATTTCATTGCTCCTCGTAGCTAAAGGAGGCCTTGAACTTCCACATAATCATTTGCCACCTTAAACGAGGATTAATTCTTACTATTTTGCTTAGAATAAGAAATTGTGAGTCTAATTGGGACAACTTTCTTACTGCATTGCTTTTCAGATCATTGTCATACAATAGTTTGACTTTTACTTTATTAATATATTTTTTAAAATTTTTATTGTGGAAAGCTATTTTTGAGAAGTAAATTTATTAAAATACCCTAGGTGCTCGATTTTATCAAAAAGAATTATTTATACTACATAGTTTTTTTTTATTATTTTCTTATAATAGATTAAGGGCTATATTTGCAAAACAACTCAAATAGACCTTAAATTCGACCTTATTTTATTTTGATTTAGGATATATTTGGGGTAAGTTCTTACATTTTAGACCAACTCCTCTATTTGAGGAATTGCTTTTTTGCTACTATCTAAAAAATTTTTGTTGGAAAGCTTATTTTGTTCCCAAAATTTTAAGAAGTATGAAAGCTCTAAAAAGTTATGACAGTCACTTCCAAATTATCATCACTTGACTACCATTACACAAATATTATCACTTGATCGCCGTTCTTCAATAATATTTATATCTACCAAATAACATCCATCTCTTAATCATCTTTTACTATCTTTTCAATTTTCTCTGTTTTAGTTACATGAGATCAAGATAATGTTTTATACTACATAATCTCATTTTCTCGGGGAGAAGAGTGGACTTCTCTAGACTTACTTATATAGCCGATTAATTCAATTAATACAAATCTCTTGATTTTTTTTTTCTATTCGGATTTCTGCATTAGTCAGCGTCTATTTTATATTTCTAGTATTATCTGTGCCGCATTTTCATATAAAATTAACATGCAACACTTCATATTTAAGAAAATTAAATAGCCTCCAAAATAAGAGAAAATAAATCACATCATAAGTTTAAGTATGATGTATTTAACAAGAATAATAGGCCAGAGTGGAGCAGGTCACCCAGAGTCGAAATTATTGAAGGCTCCATGCATAAACGCATGGGCAGAGTTTTCAGAAAGAAGAAAAAAAAAAAATTCCGAATGCTCCACGTACTCTGTAGGCACAGATCATTGATCCATCCATATCATGCATCTGAGGCTCTTCCCCTGAAGCAGTAAATCAAATGCTTTGTTTATATCCTTGAAATTTACCTGATGGGTTATGAACTCGTCTAAATGGAGTTCCTGCGAACAAAAATAAATAAATGTTAAGGGGGGGTAAAAAAAAACTCTACATTCAAAAGAGGTATTTATTAAGAGAATGGGGGCATTTACTTGCGTACCACCCAATTCCTATGTATTTCCATATTTAGCGCCTGAACTTTACTTTTTACATTAATATCACCCAAATATTTCATATTACATAAAAAAAAATATCACTATTTTAACTTTTAAAGAAAAATAAGCTTTTTCATATATAAGTAGACGGTATGCATTTAAAAGTTTAAGGCTTTAGTGTACGATATGCAAATAATTAGGAATTGAGTGGTATATATGTAAATCTTCCAAAAAATAAAAGTCTGCAATGCAACTTATAAGTTTGGTGAGAAGACAAACTAGGAGAAAAATAGGGTCGAAATGTATTTACTTAAATTTAATTAAAATGAAATTTTCAGCAGTATACAAATCTGTAAGTTAAAATTTAAGTCAGGAAATTCTGATCCAGATATTTTCCCAAAGCCAGTTACTTTACGAGACAATAATGCCAAATTGCAAAAAGATATCTTTTTGTTGCTGCTAGATGAAGTTCTTTCAACCTATAAAACAAGTACAAAAAGGGGTTTTACGTCAATACCACTTAAAAGTTATACAATTTGCATATTCAACACATAATCTTCATAATTTGTATTATACAACACTGTATTAACGGAGTTTACTAAAATCACTCTGATCTCACCAGACACAAGACAGTCAAGATAGAATCTCGCCACAAAAGTTCATTGTTGAAGGTATCGGTGAGAAAATGGTGTCTAAAGGATAAGTAGAAATAGGAGTTTATTGGAAAAGTCATCAATGAGATCACGATAAATGAAGAAAAAAAGAGTTTGTGAGACATGTTGTAGAATGAACAATGACAACTTCCCGCCAGAATCTCACCAAAAGAGCTTGGTGTCAAAGTTGCCTGTGAGACTAGTGGTCTATGAACGGTAGATGTATTTATTTTATGGGTCAAAAGTTAAAAAGATAGATTAAATTATAGATCAGACATTATTCGAAGATTTTGCTTTTATTTTGCTATGACTTAAAGCTGTGGTTCTAGGCTTCTCATAGATGCAAGCTCCTATGGTTAATGTCTTTCTAAGTAATGAGAGAAATCTCTTGAGTTAGGCTAATCATTAGATGCTAAGAGCTTAGCATATGTTTATTAGGAGTGGAGCCTGATTTGGAGAGCACCAACATACAATGGACCGAGCGCTCCACGCTATTGTTCCGGGCTGTGGTCTCTCAAGCGTCCACTCTAGGCATTGGACAATGGAGTGGGCGCTTAGCGCCCAGGGCACAACGCTCATTTCGCTCGAGAGAGCACGACGCTTAGGTGCGTATGCCCCCAGAGTAGTTGGTTCGTAGCTTCTATTTGAAAGGCTGAATTTTAGCGATGTATCGTGCAGGCGTTCTTCGACAAACATCACGGTGAATGTGAGAAGTGTCAGAGAGGAGGATTTTGGTGATTTCAAAGCGTTTCTCCTTTCAAATCGGAGAAAGAAGAGTTTGAAGCAATGTTTTGTAAGTTTCCTTCAGAGAGGAGAAAAAATTGAGCGCGTTCTCCATAAACTCTATGATTTTGATAGTGAAAATTTTCTGACGGCGTGGCTCCATGATTTTTTTTTGTTCTCCGGTTTTTCCAGATTAAATTCTCATGTGTTTTTCTAGTTTGTTCTTTGTCATGCTTTTGTTCGCATGTTTGTTCGATTTTCTCGAATCTACACGATTATATTCCATAGTGCGGTTTAGATTTCTAATTGATTCTAAGTTCTGGTCATTTGGAAGGGCATTCTTCCGTGTTCTTTTCCCAACAACGGTAAGAATAATTTTGATTTAGAATCAAGAAATTCATTTCAGCTTAAAACATATGATGAGGGGAATGATGATAAATTCAATTATAATCTCAGGATTCTGTCATTCTTGGTTATTGTGAATCATTATCTATTTAGTCAGAAATGATAATCAACCCAATATGACGATATAATTTTTATCAACAGCAATGTGCTATGTCATCTAAAAGGATAGATATTCATCTAAGAGAATAAATTTAATTTGATCTTAGCTAATAAAAGACTTCATGCCCTATCAAGCGCACATTGAAAAATTTGCGAGCTCTTATCCTGACAGTAATTTATTAGTCATTTTACAGTGGACCACCTGCTAGATGGCTTAAATCATAATAATTTTTTTAAGGTGTTATTTGATAGCAAAATCAACTGATCAGAGGATTCAAGTCACGTTATTAATTATGTGAAACCTTTAACAATGATCATATTGATTTAGCTTGTATGATATATGCTCTTTATATGCCCAGAACAAGGTTAAATTTTTATCACTATCGACAAAATATTACGAAGAGTGAATGAATTATTGCTTTAAGCTTTAGATGATACCTTTTATTTGAATATTTATTTAATTTTATGTTTTTTTTTTAATTTTAACACCTTATTGAGATTTAAGCTTAAAATAATTTTCGTTATTTTAACACTTTAACAAGGTAACATACTTTCCACTGATTAACCTTTAGCACAATTATCAACAGGGCATTTGAATAACTTTATATTATAGCTTTAGATATTGTTGACTCTCTTCGCAAATTATCAAGTCAGTGACTTATATATGAGTTCAATTTATTTAAAATAAATAACTCTACAAACTTTTTCTACTCTATTTTAGTACCTTCATACGCAAGGGATCATATTTATAGGTTAAACTCATTATTGTTTTTATTAAGAGTAACAATACTGAATTTTTATTTAAAAAAGAATTTTATTTGAAAAATGTATTGATAGCTTTAAACAAATTAAAAAAAAAATCTTATCGTTTTAGATTTATTGTGTTGATATTTTTATGATGTTCAAGTTCTGTTAAGTTCAATTTTTGAGATATGGGAGATCAATATTCAAAAGTGAGACTATGATTCTACCCTATAAGAAAGACAACCTACTATGGAATATACATTTATATTAGTGAGCTAGTTTAAAATTTAGGAGATCTAGTAAAATCTTTAAATAGATTAACACTTTTAAATGGTTAAATTTTTTTCGCAGCAAGACACATTTGAAGTCTATACCTTTCCCTCCTTTATTTAATTCGTGCACATTATATAACTTTAAGTCCGAGCAAATTGCGCATTTGTGGAAGCACATAAGAACAAGATCACTTTTGGTATTTTGGTATGTCGTACATGCTTTCAATTTGTTTGCATGATTTTTTTGATATATTTGCACAGTACATTACGTGACTAGTTGTGCATTTGTATGATGAACTTCCACAAATTTTAGTGCAGAGTCATTTAGATGATTTTCAATGCACTTGCATGATATATTAGCATGCGTTGGAGATGTTGCAATTGAATTTTGAAAGCTATTCATGGTGGTGCAGATGCATGTCTTAAAAGTACTCAGATTCTAATGTGAATTTTTGTTTTTGGCAAGAATGTTTTATCATCGTGATAGATGCAATACTATCTACTATGAGCTTGCATTTATACGTATATTGTGGATTCTAATTCGTAGCATTAGAATAATTTTATGAGTTTCAAAGAATCAAACTTTAGTCTTTATATAAATGCAATTTTATATGATGGGCCCCACGTCAAATCATTTATCCTCTTATAATGGTGTGTGAAAGTTCATTCTCATAATCTAATAAGTCCATTTAAGTTTCATGTGTGACTTGAGGGACCTTCACATAGCAGGAGTGTTTTGCTCGTGTTCATATAGGGGCAGTCAAATTTTTTGTGAGTAACCTAGAACACGATTTAACTCGGTTTGATGTCCTATCTGTAATTTTGTTCTTATTTCATAATTTTCCAATTTTATATTTGTTGTGAGATATGAACTTTCTGGCATAGAGATGAGACGAAAAAGAACACAAGCAAACACAGATCGTTTACGTGGTTCGATCCAACTGGATCTACGTCCACGGAAGGGAATCAATCAAATAGTTCACTAAGGCAAAAGAAATGGAGAATACATAGCTTATACATAGAGATGAGCCCTCATCTTCCTTCTATGGCCTCCCTCTCAAGCGACACCTT